CACCTGTATATTCTTTCTCAGCAGCCGGCGCCTTTTCTCAACCAGACTGGTCCTTGTCTGAGATTGTCGTGGACTGACACTCAGCTCAATGCCATTCTCTTCTGCCCAGCTCATTGAATTGTCTGCTCCGAATGCTGGGTGCTCATCAAAACCACCGTGCTCATCAAAACCACCTGCTTGGTGGACCGTATAGGTTGGCTGCCTTTCTTTGCATGCACTTGAAGGTCTGCTCATTACCAAGATAGATGTTCCCTTTCGACTGTTGCTGGTGTCACTAACACACACTGTTCTGCCTGTTTTCCTCGATCGTTCATTTCTTGTAAACGCTCACCGTGTTGAAACACCAAGAGATGGAACTTCTGACATGAGCGGAATTTTCTGTAATGAAGGAAACTCACTCATGTGCGATCTATTTGTCCACTATCTTGGATTAATAGATCGGGAATGATATTTCTTGCCATGTTTACTATTTTTACACACACTGTCTCGTGCCAATTGAGAACCGATTGACATTCATTCATGGGAAGAAGACCAAATTGACATCCATCTTCGAGAATGGGACATGGGAAATTGAAAAGCATCCCGAGAACATTGACCACAATCGTGTGATGAAGGCAAAATTTCTTTTGAAGTGGCTGATAGACAATTTTGCAAGGTTTTTCTGACCCAGATTTTGCTACAAGCGGTCAAAATTCATAGAGTATTACCTGCCTGATTCCAAGAGACGAATAGGAAGTTTCCTAACCAATCTTGCGCGGACGTGTAGCTGCTCACCTGTATATGGCATTTGCTGACTTCTGACAATGTCTTGCCAAATCTGCCAACAACGTAGGACTGTTCCATTGATATAAATCGTCGTCTACCCATCAATCATTCACGCCCTGTGTTTCTTGCAAATCAGACATCTTGATTCCTTGCGGCAAACTTGCTTCTGGTAGGAAAGAGGTGTACTCTGATAACCAGCCAGGATGTCTCATCAAAAAAATCATCCTCATGGCCCCACTGCAGAATTTCGATATCAAAACTGCATTCCAGAGGATGGTGCGATCATCGCACTTGCATGCAGCCTGTTCCACAACTGCAAAAAGTTGCTAAATCTTCAAACAAACGAACTTTTTTATTGAAAGGGAATGCATGTGAAAAATGATGTTCCGATCCTGCTGCACAAAGAATTCTAAGTTTAGAAGCTTAGGGATTTGAAGCACATCCTTTGCAGAACAGGATCCAAACAAGCTTGAAGGAATTTTAGGAATTCATTTAGATGCGGGCATTGGCGGAGGAATCATCACATTCGTAAAGCACTTGAATGAATTCAAAAGCACCTTCCTTTCGCACAAAGAGAATAAAGAAATTCAAATTCAGTGGACTGGACAAGCCCAGACGCAAAGATGAACAATTATTAACCCCAGCCGAATTGCAACAATAGAGGGGGCATGCTACGGCAGTCTCCCAAATGCAGCAGTCCATTCATGGCTAGACACCGCAAATTTGCAAACAAAATCCCAAAGGCAATGGTACCGGACTTGATGGAAGCAAACAAAAATACTTAAGGAAGAATACTGCAATCCTTGTGCAACCTATAAGAAGTGACTTTTAAAGAATTGAAACAGGTCGTATTTTTCTATACTCTCAACAATCGATCCATGCGCGTCACCCGCACATTCCAATTTATGGCGGAAATCTTCTGGTTTGGTATTTGCAGGATTATTCATGGAATGGGCTGTGAAATTTCCATTCAAGATAACCATTGCAATGCAGCCAACAACCCACGCGAGGAAGAAATCTCACTTGGTCGAAGTTCATCTTCTTGCCTCTTTGTCATGGTTATCATAGATTTGATTTTTTTATGTTGCAATTTCCATCTTCGAATTTTACTTACATACAATTTATTTGTTGCGGCAAACTCTAATTCTTTTCCTATTTGTATTCAACATTGGAAATTGAACGCTTGTTTGAGTTTCTGAGGTACACCTCATCGTTCCCATCACCTGTCAATCATATCGTGAACATGCAGTCCAATCAAGGACCAGGCGACCTGTTCGATTGTGGAAACGAAAAAGAGTTGGCCTGATTTTTTAATTGTTGGGACCTCTAAAGATTTGTGTTGCTTGTCCATTTCGGATGCTGCGTGGGCGGTTCGCACAGATCGTTTGAGCCAGGGAGGAATTTTATCCTTTTGATACACAAAAAATCCTGCAAGGTGAATCTGACCAACCCTATGTCATTCTTTGATTGGAGGTTATTCAAAATACCAGATGTATCCGGCAGGTCATTGAATGCGGACGCCCAATTTTGCTGAGGTACGATTGATGCATTGGACTTCCTGCACATTTTCCGGCAGTCATATCATCAAGAAGACTTCAATCTGGAGCGGTCTTGTAGCACCACTGGAGGAGCATACGAGGGCAAGTAAAGCCACAATTGCCAAGCGCTGCTTGCGTGTATACTGCTCTGGGCTAAACAAAACCTTTCGTTATTCTTCCCTTGAAAGCATTGATTGAAGGCATGGTCAAATTGCTTTTAAATTGTTGATGGACTCTTTCTGAATCTATCTTGTTCAGGTTTGGCTGACAAATTCTGCATGATTTGATAGTGCTTTCGAAGAAATTCATCCATTCCGATTCTTTCATTGAATTCTCCAGGTTCCTCTCAAGACCTAGGTCAAGAAATCAAGATTGGGTCCCCAATGCGTTCGAGAAACACGAACTGAAAATGCGGAGATAAAAAAACAACCCGTTTCGCCTAGTCGATTGGAAATGACTCAACCCAAGTTCGAACCCGTTGCGGACAGCACACGGCTTTCGTGACCAGTTTGTGGGCCACAAATTCATACCGGTGGAAGTATACAAAGCGCATGCTTAAAAAGTACAACTTATATAATCAGGTTCCTCCATCACACGGGCGCCGATAACAGGGTATTATTCTGTTCAGACATATCGAGCAGTTTTCGTACTTCTTGAGGTCTGTTGTCTGGTTCAGTGCTGAATTCAGGGGTTCCAAATGATACTTCCTGCCGGCAGCTGTACTGTCAGGCGTTATTGCTCATGTAATCATTCATCTCTTCTATTTTGTCTTTCATCTTTCAATTGAATTTTTGCTTCAAGCTTTCTGCATTTTCTGTCTCGCTCGGTCCATGCCTTCATTGCCGCTCTTAGTGAATTGGTTGCATTGTGCATTCTTGCTTCAAGCCTGTCGGTGGTTTCTATTCTCTGTGGTGTTGGTGGCTTTTGTTCATCTGGCTCGATTTGTTTGTATCTGTGCTTCTATTGTGTGGTTATGACGTTCTGCTGTATGCTGCCGCCAACAAGCATGCAACCAACAAATGATCTGAAATACCCCACAATGTTCCAATCACCAACAATGTAAAATCCCAACCTGTTTCCTCATCACCGCCCTGAGCTCTTGTCGGAGTCAGCTCATTTGCAATGATCATCAAGGTCAGGCTCTTCTTTACACTCAGTGCCGAAATATATGCTATGTCAAACTCGTTAAATAAGCTGATCTGGATCCGTTCCATTTAGACCTATATAAATGATCCCAAGTTTCAATGGCAAAAACCAGAGAAAGCCCTAACGAGACAATCAAAAGCATTGCTTACAACAAACTATAATTCATTGTTTAATCTGGTAACCAAGCTTGCTATTCCAAATTGCCAGGAATGGAGGAAAACCATTGAGGTAATGCAGATAAAAGAGCAAGTAGAGGGCAATCCTCAATATCATTGGATCTTAATAGCCATTATATTAACCGATTATTTAATCAAACCAATAAACACTAATTTCCTTCGTAAGGTATTAATAATAGGCAAATTTAGGATCTTCGACAAATCAAATACATTAAAGACCAATGCCAATAAGAAATTTAGCAAGCGATGGGTAGAAGAATTTTAAAATCAAGCAACCAATTTCAATCGAAAACAAAAATAGAATGAATATAAATTATAACAAAACCAACATTAGAATCAAACCTTCAAATAAACCAATTAATCGTTCGATAATAATCGATAAAAATAATCGATAGTACTTGCCAAGACGGTAGTTAGTAAATCGAAAAGATTCGATAAGTGGACGAAAAAGAATTCACGTACGACCGCGTTCGATAAATCTAAGAATTTAATAAAATTAAATAATTTTAGGTGCTATAAATATAATCTTCATAATAAAAATCCCAATTTATTATAATTATATTAATATTTCTTAAATATCTTCAATTTCGTTTAATATATTTTACGCCTAATAATCAAGCATTTATTATAAATTTAAATCTATATTAATAAACCATTACGAATCGCAATCAAATCAAACATAATATATATATTTCAAAAAAATATAATTCTATACATAATAATCCCAAATACACATAAACTAATTCCCAAAAATACAATATAATATAAATTAAATATATAACTTATTTTCCATCAAATCTTTTTATATCATTAATTAAAATATCGCAAAATATAATTTTCATATAATTTTTTAAATCTATATCCAATAAAATATTATATCCTAATAATTCCACAATAATTTTAAATATAACAAAACATAACAATACTACTTCTACGATCATTTTTTTTTTATTCGCTCAAAAATTCATTTCGTCCAATCATCAAATATTCATTTCAACCTTAATCTACCAACTATGTTCAATAATCTAATTTCTCAAAAACACTCAATCAATACACAATTTTATACACATATACAATTTAATATTCATTTCAATATAATATCAATATGGAAGTATTTTTTTAAATTCATTCATATTATTGGATCTTGAATAATCAACAAATCATTTATGTGTGTAAATTATTTTATTTTCTCAATGTAAATCCCTCCAGAGGGTTGAAATAAAAATTCCAAATTCATTTTTGTTTTGATGACCTGTCATTTGCACTTGCAGCCGGCAACTATCACGACGAAAACCACAAATTTTCTTACCAGGCCCTGCCTTTGCTTTTTCTTCAGCGCTTTCTTTGGCGCCAAGGTGTTCTTCGACCTTTTCCTTCATGCTGGTCTCACGGCAGTGATGGTGATCATGTCCTCTGGTGTTCCCAGAAGAGCGGCAAGCTCCGCCTTCATGTTCTCCTTCCGAGAAAGGAATTGCAATCAAAATCTGGCAAGACAATTTCTTGCGAACATTGCAGTGGTGAGGAGATTGAACTTTTGAGCTGTCCAAGTGATGCGTCGTGGCACAGCCAGTAATTGACTTGAAGCTTGTTTCGAGTTCGGAAGCCTAAATGGGGGGCTTGCCACTCAGGGCTCTACTAGGTTGGAGGCCATCGCTTTTAGGTTGGAGGCCACTGCAGTTAGTATGCTACCTACTGATCCTTTCATCCCCTCCTTGCACTGCAGCTCGGCTTCGGGGCCATTGAGCACCGGATCGCAAATGTCTTCATAGCTGATGTCCACCTGAAAATGTGACGCTCTCATAGAGTGAACGAAGAAGCAACATTTAAGGTCAAAAAGAGCCTGCCTTGATATCAAAGGCCAAAGGCGTGGCATCTTTCCGTTCTGGAACAGTGAAGTCAAACAGCTGCTCCTAAGCTGGTGCTGGCCATCCAATCTCCTCATAGTCTAGGGAAGGATCCTGCTGTTGCTGCACTAAGATCCATGCCCAAACCACGCCCGTCGCTGCATTGGCCTCAAAACGGCACATTTGTACTTTGACAAGTGCGAGACATGCTCTGTTACATCATTTTCAACATGCTTGCTCTGTTCTGGGGCTGTTTCGAGCAGTGGATTCACACCGGTGACCATGGTCATGACATCATACCTCCATAGACTCCAACAATTGCGTAGGCGCGGAGGTAGCTTGGAGCGTTCCATGTAGTTTGGAGGCCATCGCTTTGAGGTTGGAGGCCATCGTATTAGAAGAACAGGCCAGCCTTTGGTATGCTCGGAGACCACAGGCTCCGGTCATCATCTTGCCACTCACCAACCTATGCTTGTTGAACGTCACAAGCTTTTTGTATGTCACTCTCTTGCAACGTGTGCCTGGTTGCGTTGAAGACAGTGTTGACACCCGGTTGATCAACCCAAAGCCAGCAGCAGCAGCCACTGCCAGCCTTTAAACACATCCAGCACTCGTTCACTGTTCTTGTCTAAAGACAGGTTTGAAGCAAAGGCGAAGCAGTTCAAAGAGCTTACAGAAAAACCATTGATCTCCAGCCTGTGAGCAAGAAAAGTCCGTCATGCCTAGCAAAGAAGTCCGAATTCAATTCTTGTTCAAAGTTTGATGATGGAAAACAAAACAGCAACAAAGCACACACCTCCACCAGGATCTACGGCAGTTCCCAGGCATGAGAAGGACGATGTCCTTTGGTCAAGGTCAGGTTGTGTGAAATAACCTGATCCAACTAAACATACTAAACTGATCGTCACCCTGCACTTGCTAGACTGGGGCACGTGCTCCAGGAGTAGAGGGTCTCCAGTTTTCAAACTGACTTGGATGTAGATCGCCTGGCGTCGCGACATCGCCACCACTCAGGACATTTTGAGGCGACAACAGTTGACACTCCATCTCCATCTGTGCCTCCACTTCCAGGTTGTGTGTATCGTGGACCAAGCACGACAGAAGCGCCTTTTCAAGATTGCCAACATGCTGGTTGAACTGTTCTTTCTTGGATGTTTAGGAATCGGAAGAAGTCTGGTAGAGAAGCACTCTTTGAAGAGGAATCTATCATAAACCATTACCTTCCTTTTTCATCTCTTAGACCGTAGACCTCTTCTTTTATCTCCTTCTATCGATACAAAACCACTGTGTGTTTCTTACATTTCAGTGTTGTTGCTCTGCTGAACACAACCACCCTGTGCACCTCTGTACTCTTGATGCTGGCTAGTCCACATTGTCCCGGCTCCTGAAAACTTGGACAGACCGATTTGAAGAAATTGCAATCTTCTCGATCTTGACCAAAATTGCAATACAGCATTGGGGCTTCTAGTTTCATGCTGCTTCTCTCATAACATCCCCCAAAGCCTCAACAAGAATCCAAAAGACTCCTCGACGCCAAGTTGAAGTGTTGTGCTTGTAGCTTTCAGCACATCGTACTTGCTCTGCGCCTGCAAACCGGCACCATCGATCTGGCCACTTTGTTGTGTTTGAGACATCAACCTCTCGCCCCAAAAACGGTGAAACGGCCTTAATCACAAAATCTGCTGGGGGCAGAAGCTGGAGCGGAACGGGCTCTGGTTTAACACCCTGGCGATGCAAAATTGAAGCTGTTGCTATTTTCTATTTGTGTTTTCTTGTCTTTCTGTCTTTCTTTCTCTATTTATTTCTTCAAAGCCTTTGTTTCCAAGAAGCACAGCAGCTATATAATAACAATTTGAGCCAAAGCTGCTCCGTTCTGTGAGCTGATGTCCAAACCATCCGGTAAGGTGGGCGTGATGGTAAATGCCACCTGAGGATTTGAACAAAACTCTCAAGTACATCTGTTCAGATAGTTGTTAAACACAATGCATTTTTTGGTGATTACTTCAGAAGCCTCGTCAAAGTAGTAGGCTGGAAAGCCAGCGCTGGACCAAAGCACCGCAAGCGTAGGAAATGATACATTGCGGGCGAGTATCACCTAGTGCACTTGCCAAAAAAGCACTCTGCTCTGCTTGTTCTGCTCGCTCTTTTGATTTGGAGGCCATCGCTATTAGTTAAGTTTCCATACAAATCTCGGAACCAAATGAATCGTCGTGCGTAAGCTATCCTGCGTCCATCCATGCTAGTAGCGTATCCCGTGCTACTATCTACCTGGCTTCCAAAAAGCGACCTACTAGCTACTACCTCCCTCAAGCGGCCTACCCCCGCCAGGCCGAAAACAAACCTAGTAGCCTCCTAGTAGCCTACTAGCTTCTTGTTACTACTAGTAAGGCCAGGAGCCCCTAGTAGCGTCCGATCGCTCCTAGTAGCGATGCCCTTTGTTTCTAGTAGCTTCTTGTTACTACTAGTAAGGCACTTGTTACTAGAAGCGATGTACTTGTTCCTAGTAAAGGAAGAATGTGAAGTACTTGAAGGCCTGACATTTGTCACCTGGCCTGCGTGGCTGGATTGCTGAGAATAGAGTACTGAAAGCTGGGCGCGGCTAGGACTCCCAGAGTGACTGCCACACCTGCTCCATCCTGAAGGGTACACAAAAGAGAAGCAAAGCACAGCAATTCACAGCCATAAACAATGTGTGCATCTCGCCAAGCAACCTCCGGATACACGACCAATGACTTGGAGTGCTTGCACCACACGTATGCCTTGCAGCTTCGGAGACATAAGAACACTCGGATGTGACACTGCTTCCATTGAAACTCAACGCTACTAGGAGCAAGGACGCTACTAGGGGCTCCTGGCCGTACTACTAGGAGCAAGAAGCTACTAGTAACAAGGACGCTAGTAGAAACAAGTGCATCGCTACTAGTAACAAGTGCCTTACTAATAGTAACAAGAAGCTACTAGGAGCCAGTCGGCATTCAGCCGAAACGATGCGCCACGAAACATCGCACCTGTGGTGCGACTCCCAAAGGCATGCGCTGTATATTGACAGCGTTTGCCACGACTGTGGTGATCTTCACCTCGCTGCCGCTTCTATCAGGTTTCGGATTGGAATACCCTCAACATCACATCAAAACCAAAACTTGTAGGAACTAAGCTCCTCAAAGTGCATAACATTTGTCCGAAAATCTCTAAAACCATTCTTTTGTCTTTCCAATTCCCTTGTTTCGTTTGGTTTTTGTTTCAACATATGACACATTGATGCAGAAACTAAGCAAGACTGAGAGCTGCACGGAAAGGTTCACGCTCGTGTCAAAAACCTGAGAAGAAACGAAGAAACGACGGGGACTCTGAAAGACCAACTGGTCTACGGAGAAAATATGTGCGATTTTACTAGACCTCCTTTTCTTCCTTTTGCTTCCTTTTCTTTGTTTTAATTATAATTCTTGTTACTAGTAGCGATGCACTTGTTCCTAGTAGCTTATTGTTTCTATTTGTCCAGATGTCTTATTGTTTCTATTGTTTCCTACCAGCTTCTTGTTCCTAGTAGTAAGGCCCTTGTTCCTAGTAGCGATGCACTTGTTCCAAGTAGCTGATGTCCAGATGTCTTATTGTTTCTATTGTTTCCTACTAGCTTCTTGTTCCTAGTATTAAGGCCCTTGGTCCTAGTAGCGATGCACTTGTTCCTAGTAGCTAAATATGTGCGATTATACTAGACCTTGCTTCCTTTTCTTTTTCTTTGTTTCTACTAGCGATGGCCTCCAACTTACTAGGGATGGCCTCCAACCTAGTGGCGATGGCCTCCAACCTAAGCGAATATGTTTTCCCCTATGTTTGTGTTCATTTTTCTTCTTCTCTTTTCTGCTCTCCTGTTCTTCGTCTTCTTTTCTCTCCTTGTCTTCGTGTCCTCTTTCTTCCCTATCTCACAATAGACCACAAATGCGTACAATGGTACACGCAAGACGGATGCTCACAGCCCTCTGAACTGCACTCGACCTCGTGTGACATCGTGAACCAGTCACCAGTCACCTGCACTGGAGCAGGAACCTGGTTGCGACTCTGAAATCGTCGGGTGCAAGGTGACCCGATGTCACATTCGCTCGAGCTCCGCATTGCGACGAGAGAAGACACGTTGAATGTCGAGGTTTTTTGCCCAAACAAACGGAGACAACGGGCTCCGACTCCTCAAGTGTCAGCGCAGGAGGTGATGTGAAATGGCCCGAGGGTTTTCCATGCTGTTCTCGTTTCTATTCGGAAGTGCATCGGCCCAGTCAGTGGAGTCAATCAGCTTGTGACCAAGGCTGAATCCTGTGACCAACGTCTTGACACGAACCTGCTTTGCAACTTGCGGAAGCAATCAGGATGCAAGGCCATCCCACCAATCGGCGGAGTCAGTTGACAAGAATAGTCTCATCGAGAATCTCAATAACTGTGCAAACTCCTTGTCGTCCCTTGCACCATACCAAACGTCGTACCAAGCGTCCAACGAGAAACATCGTACAACATGTCATGCCTTACAACACCCAACGTCCACCAAACATCTTATCAAACCCACAGCAAGCAATCAAACCTTACACAAAAACCGTCAAGTGTCACACCCAATCTCACGCACCAAATGCGACACATCATCGACCGTCATACTGAACCTCATACGCCAAACCACAAGTCATACACAAAGACATGCATCATGACAAGTGTCATACCACGCGTCTTGAGATTCTTTACCAAACGGCTTACCTTGTAATGCCAGTATCACACATTCTTATCAAGCGTCCTATGCTTCCTGCTGCTTGCAAATGTGTGGGTGGAGATCACTTAAGTACACCTTTTCCTTGGGGGAAACGAGAAAGAGTTGGAGTGTGTGGGAATGAGGATTCAGACATGGATTGCTCGGGTTCTGGCAGTGTCTGAAACAATTTCTCTTAGCATCCCATGCGAGGGGCTTTTCGGCAAAAGGAACCCAATAGCGATGGCCTCCATGTACTAGCTTCCTTGCCACTTGCCTTGTCACTAGCTACCTCCAGCTACCTGTAGCTACCTGTCACAAAAATGCTTCTAGGCAGGTCTTTCGCTCACTTTAGAACATACCACGAACAAGAAATGGAATCTCAATCCGAGCAGCCGGAATCTGAAGAGCTCTTCCGAGAACTTCATTTTCGTTGAAAACAGGGACGAAGTCCTCTCAGTTGTCCCAAGACACAACACCACAGCCACAATGAACACGCAGCCCTTGTTGCGCCCGTGACGAAACAGTCCTGTGGCAAGGTAAGAGCATAGTCACCTGCTATTTCCTCTGCCTCAGCAAGAAGCTTCAAGAAAGGCCTTGGTTGGCTACCTATTATATCAGGCTATATCTACTTTAGAACATTTTCAGCTGTCGCGACATGTCGAATGTCTACTGCGGTTGCTTCGTCCCTCCCATCTTCGAGGCGTGGACCACGGGAGGTCGACTGAAAGTTAGTGTTGTTGCTATGCAGCTGATGGATCCTCTCAAGGAAGCCTGCACCAGCGGCCATTCGTGTTCCAGCCACTGTTCGGCATTCGTTTCGCCAGATTTCTCAAGTTTTGCGTGTAGAAATCACGTGCGAATCTCATCGTTGTACGTCGAAATATCGTTCTCTCGTCCTGAACCACCACGTTGATCTCCCTGGAAGTTGCAGCTTCTTCACCCTGTGGCCGTTGTTCCTTCTCCAAAGCCAAAATGATGTCCTTCACAGTGATGACGCTTCCAATCTTGTTGAAGACCTCGTTTCAGAGTGTGCCACACAAGATATGACACGAATGTTTCTCTGTCGACCACGAGTTTTTCTTGGCTTCTTAGGAACAAGAAGCTTCATATGCTTCCAACACTTGGATTTACTTGGATGTCATCGCCGTCGTCATCGAGGCCCAAGCCCGCGTGGTGTCTGCGGATCCCACATAGCACAGGACATAGTTGTGTCCGATGGACAGCCTGGACACCACCCAACGCAGCTTCAAGCGAATGCGAATCAAACGAAGGAGTTGTGGACACCTCTAGGTAGGCCTTGCTTCTATCAGGTCTTGAACTTGAAATGTTCTTGGAGCAAGAAGGCTTTCATTCTCTTTTTGGAAGAAAAACACAACAAAACAAGAAGGACAAAAGCCAAGGAGTCTTGTCTTTTTCTCAAGTCTTGCTCTTTAAAGAGCCAAGGCGCCCAAGAGTTTCGTCTTCGGTCACAGAAACCTCAAGGTCTCTTGATGATGCAAGAAAGGTGAGCAAAGAAAGAACACAGAAAGAAACCTAAAGACCTCTTGAATAAGAAGAAACAAGGAAGGCCGTTTCTTGTTTTTCCATTACGTCTTTTTAATTTCTTTATATTTTTTTCACAAACAAATTCGCGACACCAAGCACTGAGACCACGAGCAAAATGCGTCGCCAAATTCACCGGCGTTGGCAGAACCGAAACGGTCTTCAGCTGCACCTGGTGCTGAAACGGCCTTCACAGCTTTCCAAGATGACTTTTTGACCGACCCTTTTTTAGCCAAATGTCGTTGAGACTACTAGCGTGGCACTTGTTACTAGTAGCTTCTTGTTACTACTAGTAAGGCACTTGTTCCTAGAAGCGTGGCACTTGTTACTACATTTAAGACATATCTTTTTTTCTGTGTGCAACAACAGCACTCTTTCTGGGAGTTTCCTCTTCACACGAGTCTTACAAACCGTTGCCCACTGGGTCTGTCCCTCATCCTTTGCTAAACAAGAATGCTCCTTGAACACTATTTGCAGGTGTGCCGATTAGTTTTTCTTTGGGTTGACTGGATTTGTTCCTGCACATTGTCTGGGATTTCGACAGCTGCGACTCGCTGGATATAGCTCGCAGCAGTCTGGCACGTTGAGAACATGTGACTTTTTCCCACAAAGCTGACGCATGATGACATATTCTGCTTTCCAAGACAGAATCCATAAAGGGTCAAGAATTAGCAGTCTTGAAAGAGTCCTCTTTCTTTCGGGGCCTCTGGCTCGAAGTTCAAGGCTTCCAATCCAAGAGCTGGGAGGCAAAAGCCTCCGTTCTGGTTGAAGTCCTTACTACGAGGCGGTCTCTCTCTAAGAGACGCTAAATGCCGTCTGGCGGTGTGGCAAGCCCGCTTGGTCTTGGAGAATCACTGCGTCTCTCGTTTGGAACGCTTTGGCCGCTCTGGGGCAAAGACTGTTTCATCCAAAATGAATGCCTTGAGAGGCGACGAAGGGAAGATACATTTTCTGAAGTAAAAAAGACACCTTGACCAAATATCCATAGAAAAAGGACCAGGTGAAGGCCCAAAAGACAAAGACCCTGTTCGGCCCGAACGAATGCAACTCACGGTTTCCGCCTGTGCTAACTCTCCGGGGGCTGTGTCGTACAAGACCAAATTGGAGGCCAATCCGCGACTCCTGTGGTCAACGTCACTGCCAACATCCAAAAAAGTCACTTACACACAAGACCCAGTTTTCTACCAAAAACTGTTGTCTGTCTTGGGCTTACTGATTGCAGGTGGAACTTTTTTGGCCTTGATGGCTGAGACTCAGATCCTTTCGTCTTTGGTGTGTTTGTACGTTTACTGCAACACCAGGCTTTTCAGCTGAGGGGCATGTGCTGGATGTAGGCATCATCGACGATCAATGACAGGCTTGGTTGGAGCTCCTGATGACGAGAACGGATCAAAGTGGGTCCTTGCTAGCACCCTTAGGTCTTGAATACTCTAATGACTCCAATGTGAATGGACACATGAGCAGGAACAAAAGCACTTTTGTCAAAACAGCCTTGTGTGTTCCGGTTCCGGTGCTCAAAACTTGGACAAGGCACGGATGCGAACTGAAGGTCGGTGCCCTGATCTCCCTCAGAGCATGACATGGACATTCAAAGAACACATGCTGCCACTTTCATAAGAACCTGTTGTCACAACTTTGTAAGCTCAGCAAAATCTAAGGTCCATGCGCTGACTGCAATTGGAAGAGATGCAGGGAGCTCGAAGAAACAAAACATTCTCTTGAACCTCGGAAATGATCAAGGTTTAAACATCAACATGGTTGAGCAGTTGAGCAAAAAGAACAATCAATGTGGTTGAGCCTCAACCAAGGGCATTCGCAACTATACGAAAACTGAGCGCTTTGCGATGAGGCTGTCAGGTATGCCTTGATGGGCTGTTCTTGCCCAGACGTGTTGAGGACCACAGGAATGGCCTGCAAGCGCACAGGAGTGTCCCAAGAAAGGGAAGAAATGGGAGCAAATCAAAAGACAGAATTTTCAACTAAATGACTTGGCACCCCGGTCACTACCCCTGACATCCCCTCACATGTTGCTAACGTGCTAGGGTAAGCCAGCGAAGATGGCGGATTGCTTATGCTGGTGAACCATTGCTGTCGGTGTAAGCCATATTGGGACCTGTAGTGGCCGGCAGGGTGTCGCTGAAATAAAGCCTCCTTGCTCCTAGTAGTACGGCCAGGAGCCCTAGTAGCTTCGTTGCTGCTAGTAGCGATGCCAGGAGCGCCTAGTAGCGTCCTTGCTCCTAGTGGCTTTCCTCTCTGGTGATGTGGTAGGTTCTTTCTGCAGCTCACCTCGTAGGTTCTTGCTGGAGATGTTCTGATTCTCGCCAGCGGAATGTTGTTGAAGTGATACTTTTCACCACTGGTGAAGTTTGACGGCGTATAGCATGCGTTTCTGGTGACATGGTACATGCTCTCCACTGAAACGGTCCACTTTTCCACTCCTTTGAAGTGGGAGAGAACCACTCTGCGACGGTGAACATGCGACGCGGTCACAATCACGTGTTGAAAATGCAAACCTGACAAAAGAGCCCTAAAGTTCTTGATTTTGTATTTTCTAGAACTTCTAACGTTCGACATTACGTTGTTTTCCGTGTCTTTGTGTCTCACATTTTGAACACACATTTCTCTTTGCAATTGATATTTTAGAACTGTTTGGAAACTTCGGTGTTCTTGGAAACAATAATCCTCCACTTGTTTCCATGAAGCCGGGGCTACGGCTAAAGATTCAAGCATTTTGGAGGTGAAGACTTAAGATTTCAGTCCCTTTTAGTTTTATTGAAAAGAATCAAGGCAACACAATTGTAGATCTCGAAAACTGTCACGCGACATAGAACACACTCTTTTCTCCTATTGAGTGATCACTTCTTCCACCCAAATAGCAACATGTACTTCCCAAAAACAACTAGTCAAGAATAGCCCTTTCAGAGGCTTTCATGACAATCTAAAGGCTTCGATCTAAACAAGGTTCTCACAATGAACATATCTCCACATCAATAGACTGCGTTTGGAAACGTAAAGAACGCGTTCTTGCTGGTACACCTGACCTACGGCCAAGACTCAAAAGGGTTTCTTGCGCTTGGAGTCTTTAGTAGTGATCAACATTTCCTTGAGGGTAGAGGAATGGACACTTCTCGCTGTGTTGACAGCATGCGCAGTGGCGCAGTGCGGCCTCGGAATAGGTGGATGCATCACATTCGATGGTGTTGTTGACCATCTTCACTCGCGATTGTGAAGTGTCAACGACATTCTCCATAAACACCTCACTTGCAGGTCTTTTCTTGAGAATGAACGGTGTGTGGCCGGCCTACAGTGGAAGTCACATTGGAAACATCAAAGCCACCCAAAACATCATGAAGAAAGCACACTAAGCAGTTCCAACTACTTGCAAAAGGCAGAAGGCCAAAAGGCCATGTTTGGTCGTAGACCGAACCACATTTTGCTACTCGAATCAAGAATCTTGCTGTTCCTGTCTGTTAATGAAAGCTCCTATTTCTTCCAACATTGTCCTGCTTTACAGTTGCAACTTCTAGCTTGTTCCAAGTGGCGACAAAGGCAGCGCCAGGCCACAGGAAAGTCGGAAGAGTATGTGCTAAGGGTGCCTTGACAAAGAAAGTGCAATGTTCTACCAAGCTGAAGAAATTGTTGCACTATGTTCATACAATATCATACCTGAATTGGAAAATAGCATACCTGGCCCAAACCTCTTTTGCTGAAAACATCGCGCATCAAGCACTTCGACCGCTGCTCCCGCCGCGTCCCGCCACCCTGCGCGCCGCCCTGCCTGCCCCGGCAAGTTGAACTGCAGTCCGTTCGGATCGCTGGGCACCACCATCTTGGTCTCCTGACCGAACCGAGGGGACGGGACTGAGACCGACCCGACGACGGGTTCGGTCAGTGGCACCTGCGTGGCTGAATGCCAACACCAGACCGGGACAAAGTCCACGGTGAGCAAGGATGCCTCGGAGAAACTCCGAGTGTGCAGTTTTAGAGATCAAAGCGCATGAAGACTGCTATTGAAAAAAAAAACAAAGACTGCAAGTTTCCCTAAACATCCTAGAAACCAAATCATTGGTGCGTGATCTATCGACTTCCCTTAGGATCCAGCCAGGACCAGTGATACAGTCACATTGGGCGGTACAGCAGCAGGAACCGTCACTAGTGCAAGTGCCAGGGTGTTGTCCTCTTTGACCAAAAATACAAAGAAGAACATCACAATTGTTCTTGACAGCCGTCAATGTCGAAATGATGTTATATAAAATCTTGCTCTTTATCCCATTTCCGTTGTCTTTCATTCATTTGCGTTGTCCAACCTTTCTTTTCTCTTTCTCTATGTCTTAAGGACGCTTCGTTGGCAGAATGCGTTCGCCGTTACGTCAGCACATCGCACATCGTCAGTCCGGACTTTGCAGCCAATCAAGCAAAGCGGATCGCTGAGCGAAAGCATACTGCCTCGAGGAGCAGACCGGACACGCGGGACATGCGATGTAAACGTGTTTCCTGTGATGTTTTTTTGTTTTTTTTCGGCAAACAGAAAGACATAGAGCTTTAGATCTAGATTCGTTTAGATTTAGATCCTTTCTTTTGGACAATTCGACCTCCTTCTTTTGGACTTTTAGACCCTTCAACAGGTCGTGACCCAAGACTAAGCCACCGACTGTGCAGCCCCAGCGCCGGTGAACCCCTCAACCGCTGCTGCTGCTGCGGCTAAAATCTCTTGGGCCTTTGTAGATGTCACCTGCGAAAGGACAACGAGGACAAAAGAACAAAACGGAAAGGCCTAGTAGCCGGAAGCTACTAGTAGCAAGGTGCCTTACTGCTAGTAGCTTGTTACTACTAGTAAGGCACCTTGCTACTAGTAACAAAGGACCTGAACAAGGACCGCAAGGATAGGGGATAATTCTGACGCGACCGTCGCACACTTGCTAAAGTACTGCTTCCAAAGAAAGGCTGAAACCCAAAGACAGTCCAAACGGTCTAAACACGAACCACGAGAATTAGGAAAGAACGGTTCACAAATTTCAATTTTGGGCCACACAAATTTCTGCCTCTGGGTCCTTGATGACACAAGTGAGGACTCCAGGAAGCTTGGCAGCGACCTGAGTGATGCTCTGACGGGCAGTCTCTCCAAGGAAGTCTTTCGAGTAAAAGTTAGACCCTTGATACGGGAAAAAGTCCAACACAAATCCCAACTCAAACCAGGTTACTTACAGTTTTCTTATTTCTTCTTGAACCACGTGCATCGTTCCGTTTCCATCTCGTTAGCATCTGTGCATACACGTTGAAACAATTCCTTGGCCTTATATATGCTTGCGCTTCTTGATGTCTGCTGCCGGAGAGCATCAAGTCTCAAGGTGGTCCGAGTGGATGCAGCGCTTTGGACGATGCTGGTGATGACCTCGCTCACTTCAAAGGTACCGACCTCGCAGCGTGAAGACGGCACAGGACGGGACAGGGCCCGGGTTGGGGCCCATTGCTCTTAGGTTGGAGGCCATCGCTAGTAGTTGAGTTTCCCTAAAAATCTAGGAACCAAATGAATAGCGCGAGCTATCCTGCGTCCTGTCGGTAGTAGCTTACTTGCAGCTAGTAGCTACCTCTCCCTTACTCAATTAAGTAGGGAGGAGGGGGAGCGGGCAAAAGAAATTGGAGTTCTCCGCATTACGGTAGAATTGCAGTTCTCTGGGACTTGGACAGAGTTCAAGGGTGCATTTTTGACAGCGTCTGCAGCGTTGTCCAGGATGCATGCATAGTACCTGAGCAAAACAAGCGAACACCAACGAACAACGTTGAAAGGATACCAAAGGGTTCATATAGGCAGCTGACAAGCTAAGGGCAGTTGGGTAGCAAGAAGTGGTTCGGAGTAACAAGGAGTGAACAATGAGCAGGCTCCCTGAGAGGCCCTACATGCCCGCTGGCTCGTCCAGCAGGAAGGAATCGCTCAAACTGCTGGGCAAACCAATGACCTGATTGAAGCTGAAGTCACTTCTTGTCGCTCTTGCTGAAACTAGTCTGTTTTTTTTTTAAAGCCTGCTCCCCCCTACATACTTCATTAAGTAGGCGCCTAGTTGATTAAGTAAGCTAGCACCTTGCTTAAGCTCGGATAGCTTCCTTGAAGAAGTGCTCGCACTATTCATTGGGTTTCTAGATTGTTAGGGAAACTTAAGTCCCCCCCTACTGCTACTGTGTCAAGGTCTGTCGAGGGGCCAAACGGATCAGCAAACAAGACGAAGGCTTCTAATTAAATGCGTTCGTAAACTCCAAGATTCAAGTCTACTCTTCGAACCTGAGGCCAGGACCCTTCCTTGAGCAATGGCATCTGCGAGCTCAGTGCCTGAGTGTTTAGGCCCCAAGCCCTCACAAAAAGGCATCAAACAACCGTTGGGAACACATCACAGCAAATAAACCTGCTTGAGAAACGCTCTTTTTTGGGCTTCATTCTGCATGGAAAGCGGTGGGATTCTGTCGAGAGACACTGTTGCCCTGGATCCAGAATTCCACCTTCGCAAAGAAGGGCCAAAATGCGAACGAGAATTCACGACGAATTAGAAGACTCATCAGAATAGCTCCTTCCCTTAGTAAAAATGAGTTTCTTTTATCCCTGAGAGGGTAGGCCGTAGAGCTAACTAGGTAGCTAGTAAAAGCTAGGTAGGTAGCTAGTAGCTTAAGTAGCTAGGATAGCTCACGCTTCTTCAAGGAGCTACTTTAAAAAAGCGCTCGCACTATTCATTTGGTTTCTAGATTGTTAGGGAAACTTAAGTTCCGCACCTAAAGTGGCAACCTCATCAACTGAAATCCAGCTGATGTTGCCCGAAGCGCTGGTCCTAGGACAAACCAAATCTTCACGACTCTCAGGGAAAACGGTGCCAAAAAAGAGAAGCTTTTCAACAACCACGGAAAAAAGCACGCAAAAAGCATGCAACTTTGAGTGCTCGGCTGCTTCTCGACTTCCAGCCTGGAGTTGTGGTTGAAGCACCGACAGACAACGACACACAGTGATTTCGGTTCCTTGGATTAGCTATTGAAGCTACTAGTTAACACGGGCATCGCTACTAGGAACAAATGCGTCGCTACTAGTAGCCTTAGCAGCTATTTGCTACTAGTAATAATGCCTGGAGCTACTAGTAGCTATTTGCTACTAGTAGTAAGGCCAGGAGCCCCTAGTAGTGTCCTTGCTCCTAGTAGCGATGCCAGGAGCTACTAGTAGCGTCCTTGTTACTAGTAGGTAAGGCTCCTTGGATCCCTTGAATCCGAAATCTGAACATCGGCCTGCCGCGAGCTCCACGGTAGAGTATGGTCGTCCGCAAAGCCTAAGAACTGAGAAATATCAATCTCAAGAAACATCTGATGAACAGTTTTTTTTGAACTCTCGTACTTGGAAGTTTTTCTTTAAACAACACCCGTTAGTTTCTGCCCTTTTTGTTCGTTCGCAACACTTCCAGACAGAGAAACCAAGGCCACTGCCGGAACGGCTCCAATATTCAGAGATTCTCTTGCCGTGATGGGAAACTCCTCAACGTCAAAAGGCCCACATGGCCCACAGGAATCGTTGCGAATCATGTCGAAATGGCCCTGTTATGGGAGTTCCCATTTCTTCGTTCATGCGTGTGGACTGTATCTTCTAATTCACTCCAGCCTGTGGACCCCCAAAGTAGCACAGCAGCAGCTTGCAGGAGGGATCATCTAGACCTCGGTCGATCCAAACACCAAGCCATGAAAAGAACGAGTGAGACTTGGAGTGTTGGAATCTGACTGCCCGCCCACTGAACCGGGCGTTCTGCGTTCTTTCTTTGCGTTCCTACCAAGTGACACATTGCTGTGTCGAGCTTTGCCAAGGATGAGGTTTCCAGCATCAGGTTGCCGAAGTTGTCCTGGAATCGATTCAAGCTGTCGTGAAACGATGCTCTGTCAATCTTCCTGTGCGAACAAGATGGGCAAAGAAGAGCAATCAAAGGAGGACAACCACAAGTGACTGCAAAGCAGAAAGCCCTCAGATCAGATTTTCAATTAATCGGGATAGATTATGAGAATTGGGTTGAAGGATACACATAAAAACCATCAACAGCACGACGAGCACGCCGTGCAACCGCGTCCTTGGCTTCCTGGATGGGTAACTTGCCTCGGTGAAACAGCGAAAGCACGAGGCAAAAGCACGGTGCTGCGGTGCAATTGCTGGCGAGTGGCGTTCATCCATGTGATATGCCAGAATACTGCACGACTCGGTGCTCATTGCAGTCAACACCTCACAGTGAAAGGCACGAGGCGAAGGAGCTAAGAGCAGCGAAGCGACTAGTAGCGATGCCTTTCTTACTAATAGCTTCTTGTTCTTAGTAGTAATGCCAGGAGCTACTAGCAGCTTGTTGCTCCTAGTAGCGACGCCCTTCGTTACCAGTAGCTTCTTGCTCATCATACATCCAATTGTCTTTTGGATCCTGGCTTTGACGTCAGCAACATTGAGCCTGCGTCCTCGACATGAGCTCCAAGCTAAAATGAGGAACAACAGCGCAGCTTTCTTCCAAACAGCATAGCGGCATAGCGTGAAAGGCGTTCAAACACATTCAGGTCTAAGGCATTTCCCCAAGTCTTTCTTCCAGTTTTTGGGGGCATTTACCAAGTTGATCTCAGTCTTATCCTTCATATTTCTTCCAACTCGAGACTACGGCGGCATCGTTTGTCCCATGTGTTGCCTGTCTGCGTTGCCGCCACGCCCACGTCGTAGAGTTGAAACCTGCCCACGTCCCCGGGCGCCAGGGACAGCCACACGGCAACGCGCAACGACATGTCTAATAGCTTTTTTGTTACTAGTAACAAGTGCCACGCTAGTAGTAACAGGTGCCTTACTAGTAGTAACAAGAAGCTATT